GACTGAGGTTGCGTCCCCGCCACCCTAAATCGGGCCTTCGACGTGTTTGCCCTTTGCTTAATTTGGAGCAAGCCCCATTCATATGATGCGTATTTATTTTATATTCCAACCCACCCAGAGGGTCCCGGCGCCGTGGAAACTGCAGGAGGAAAGCTACCTTTGGAAGCGTGGGCACATTTTACTTCCAAGTAGGCGTTCCCTTCGGGGACTTTCGAAAGGGGGTTTAGAAGCCAGGATTCAGTCCCAAGCAAAGGCGCTCCGCCGCGGGCAGAGCCTGAAACTGCCTTTTGCGGGGAGCGGAGATCCGGGTTTTCTGAGCCTTGAGACCTGCGGGTTGGTTTCCCGAGGACTTTCTTCCGAGTCGCCAGTGCGTTTAGGACTGTGACCTGCCGGGGGGGGGGGCAATGCCACTTGCCCCATTCCCGTAAGCAGGCCGTCCATGGCTGCGCTGGCCAGAGGGAGCGATCTGGCCTAGGAAAAGGCAACCCGTCTTTATTCTATTTTTCCTAATATAGGAAAAAAACGCCTCCACGTCGTAAAGCTCCTTTCCCACGGCGCCCCAGCGGCTTTCAAGTGCAGGCTCGTCGTTAGGACGGTCGTTGCGTTCACACGCCAGAGCCTCTCTCCGTCAGCTCCATGGTTTGTGACGCAGCCCAACGCGAGCGAAGTCGCGCAGGCCTCTGCCCCTAGCTGCCTCCAGTCCTAACTATGCGCTGCTCTGCCCCGTGTCTGCAAGGGCCTCGAACCGGACTTGGGCCCACGTAAACCCGCATAGCGTGGCGTGGCAGGTTATCTTTCCCCACTCCCTGCTTTAAAAAAAGAACGTTTCTTCTTAAGCGCCAGGAGCCCTCCGGAGAAAAGAGAAGACGCCTTTCTGAAAGCTGTGCGGGGAAGCCACCCGGTCGCTTCTTCGCTTCCTCGACCCCGCCGGGGGACTTCCCCGCACAGACGCGGGAGCGCGCGGGCCGCGGGCCAATCTCAATCCACAAAGCAGTTAAGCGGAAGCTGGCGGCCGCCAAGCCTTTCAGCAAGGTTTTGCCAGCCTTGTGCCCTTGGACTTGTCTGCGCCTTTAAACGCTCCCGGTGTGCTTATTTTCTCAGCAAGGACGCCTCCAAGCTTGTTCGTCATTCCCGCGGGATGCGAGCGCCCGAGAAAGCGATCTTTGCCTAACGACCCAGGTTTAGGCAAAGCGATCTTACGCTCCGCTTTGGAGGCCGGGGGTGGGAAGGGGGCTTACGCCCTTGCAAGTAAGCGCAATGCCTGCAGCCTTAATCAGCAGATCCTTTGCTGAGGACCCGGTACCACGAACAATAATGCCAGGGGTGTGTTGTGTGTGTGTGTGTGTGCTGGGTTCACAACCTAGGGTCCAGCCGAAGTCTACTCCATTCACTGCAAGAGAAACATTCAGATCTGCCCTTGCCATAGAAAGACACAAGTTCTATTATTTTGGCTTGCCAAGAGCGCGCTCTCTCTCTGGGTTTGTGTGTGTGTTGCGGGGGGGGGGGGGGGGAAGGATCATTCAATCATTCCATCTTCCTTCCCCCTCCCCACCTCGGGACATACCTAGGCGCCCACCGAATTTCTACCGCAATTGTGAAAGGTTCCCCTAAGCTTTTCCACAACTCTCCTGTATCCAACCCACACCTTCGCTGCCGCCACCTCTGCTTTTCTCTGGGTTGGCCTGGGAGAAAGGAGGGGATGGAAGAGGAGGAGGAGGAGGAGGAGGAGGAGGAGGAGGAAGAGAAGAGAAGAGACGGTTTCCGAAGTGAAATCGCTCTTGCTAGTCTCATGAAAGTGTGAGGCGCCCCAGAGGCGCGTCGCGTCTTGCTGTAATGATCCGCTCGCAGAAAGAGGCTGGGCATCTTACATTTTCTTTTAAAAGGAATGAAACGAGGGCAAACCTTTGAAACGTAAAAATCATAAAATAAAAAATTGTCAGGACACGGGGCGGAAGCGCGCCCTGCCTCGCTTTAGGATTCTTGCTCCGAGAATGAGGTGACGGCGCTTTTCATCCTGGCTTCCTTGCCTAGGCCCGGATCGGTTTGGAAAGAAAGGAAACGGCCGAAAGGCCGCAGCGGATCTGCGGGTAGGATCTTTCTGCCCCCCGCCCCCCGCCCCGGCATCCCCACTGGCGATTGAAGTGCGAAAGTCCGGCTCCGTCCCCCCCTCCTTTCCACCTCTCACACACTTAGACCCCCCTTTCACAACTTAACTGTGCTAAATTTACCACGCGCGCCTGGAAAGAGGGTGACAAAAGCTCGAAGTGACTTACCTTGATGAGTGAGTGACAGGCTGCGAGGCGGATGGAAAAAGTCTCCCGGGAGTTTAAAAATCAAAGTAAAATTTTAAAAAAAGATGGGGGCATAAAACCCCTTGCTTGGGCCACCCACTTCTCTGGGAGTGGCGGGGAGACTGGATGCGTTTGCGGGGCCTTCAGCGAGCACGTGTGTATGCGTGTGCATGTGGCGGTCCCGGCGCTCCCGAGAATTCAAGAACAGCCAGCGAGTCCAGCAAATTATAATTATTATTTTACGGAACAAAAAATGTTTGGGGCGAGGGGAAGGAAAAGGGGGAGAAAGTCCTAAACAATCTGCAATAAAAGCTATGGGGCACTGCAAGGAACTTCTGGACGTCTTCATTCTATTAAAGAAGGCCCGGGAACATGTTTACGTTGCGCTGTATAAACTTCCTGTCCCCTTGTGTCTATCTCGCAAAGAAATCAGAAACTTGATTTTTTAAAGTGGGTGAGTTCCAAACCTACCGCCTTTAAAGAGAGATTCCCCTGGTTCTTTAGGGAGGGAGGTCCGAGAATCGCTTTATTTTTGGTGTGTCCCTTTTGTGTATAAACAAAACTACGCTGGCTTTTTTTTTTTTTTTTTTTGCAATGCGTTCAATTCACTGGTCAGTTTCTAACAAACATCTTCCCAGCGCTGGGAGAACGCGGCGTGTCTGCTCACTCCCTAGATGCACGGATGTGCGACTCAGTGTCCGTTCATACACACATGCGTTTTCTGTCCCCGCCACGACACCCCCCCCCTTTTCTTTTCCCCTGTTCTTCTGCAAAACGACGCCCACGGGGGAGAGTTTTCTCACGAGTTTCCCCAGAGGGTTTTGCATAGTAATTGCGCAGCGAAGAGATGAAAGGCAGAGAGAGAAGTGCCAGGGATGTGTGGGTAACTGGAGAAGGTTCAGATACAAGTGTGGTCTTTCAACACGTTTGAAAATGGACGAGCCAAAGTTGTCTCTGGATACTTTGGATGGAAAAGCCTCTTTCTTCTTCTCTCCCTCCGCCCTTCTTCTCCCAGCCCGGAGCGGCTGAAACCAGCACAGTTAAGTCCTGCGATGCGTGTGTACGCTCTTTCCGAGTGGGAAAGAGCAAGAGGGGGTGGCTGGCGATTCGTCAGCTCCTTAAGCCGGAATTCCTGAGCTCCAGAGCCCTGCAAGCGCAGATTTAGCGGCGGAACTTCATCGACTGAAATGCGCCGCGCTTCAGCCGCGGGAGGAGAAGGATCCCGGGAGGTGGCATCAGCCAAGCCCCCTTGACTCGAGGGGGCAAGTCCCACCGAGCGTTCCCGAAGGGTCTCCGGATCGCATCTGGAAAGACGACGCCCGAAGTCGGTTGGAGAAGAGCTCCCGCGCAATCCACAGAGGATGGCATCCATGCGCGCCCCTGCGCGCACAAGAGAAAACTCCACGGGCGCTGCGAACTTAGACATTCAGGATATGGGGCAATACGTGCGCGGTCAGTGGGTCGGCTTGAACCCGGAAAGCAGGCAGGCGGGGGGTGGGGGATGAACACGTGTCCACGTTTCTGCGAAGGGTCCTACGGGGTCCCGTGAGGGTGGGGGGACCCTTCTCCCTCAGGCCAGGTTGGCGAGGTCGAGGGGGCGACCCTCCGCTCGCTGTCGGAGTACCTTTCAGCGCCCACCAATGCGGGCTGGAGATGCACAAGGGGGGCGAAGGAGGAGGAGGGGAGGGGGTGGGGGCACCGGGGGGGCGGGGACTTCCCCTTGCCTCTTACGTCTCGCTGTCAGGAGCCGCCAGGCGCTCGCTGACTTGAGATAAAGTTAAAAGCAACCGCTCCGGTTGCAGCAGAACGACGGCTCG